ATATATATATATATATATATATATATATATATATATATAGGTCTGATGACATGAATATGCCTCTATTCATCGAAATAAATTTATTATCAACAATGATTTTTTTTTTTATTATTATCATTTATTCTGTATCATACATTGAGCTCTTGTAATTTTTTTTATTGCGTATTTATATATATATATATATATATATATATATATATATATATATATATATATATATATATATATATGGGGGTGTACATTTAGGATAAGTACATGATTTAATATTAAATTAAGAATCATTTCTTAATCTTTGACATGATATTTTCGAAGAATACACACTTTTCTATGTGCAACCTGTTTTTTTTTTCTTTTTTAGACAGTAGCTATTAAATTTACCTGTCTACCCATTCGAGAATATTAATAAAAGAAATTTGCTCTCCAATAGGGTGTGACTTGCTGTCGCTGTTTGAACCGTCTCATGTCCGGCGGATGTAACCGGTAACTCCCCTGACAAAACCGGACGCATATTCGTAGTTTACGAGAGGACATATTTTCTTTTTTAAAGGTCTCGTGTGCGCAGTCCAAAATCTGCCATTCAAACTTTTTTTTTTTTAAAGTTATGTAGATTTTCTACTCAGACACGGGCATCCACTAACATATACTATGTGAGTCATGAGACAAAAATACGCACTTTTGTCATAACATATATTTATATTTGTCACACACTCTTCAGCTCATGCGGATTATATATATATATATATATATATATATATATATATATATATATATATATATATATATATATATATATATATATATATATATATATATATATATATATATATATATATATATATATAGAGAGAGAGAGAGAGAGAGAGAGAGAGAGATATCGGTATCCCCCTGTACAAATCAATAATGACACTAAGACACAGTAGGGAAAATTAGAAACAGAAACATCAATAATTAGCGGGAAGAGAAAAGTGTAATCAGGAAGACGGTAGATAGCTATTGACATTGGATTTATATTTTTGCTTATTAAGGTTATCTGTAAAAATGGAATCAGAAAGAATTTCCCCAAGGGAGAAATGCAAGAAAGAATTTTACGGCTACATTTAGATATGTCATCTGTAAATTGATGTGATCCTGAATGTTTAGGTACAATAACGAAGAGATAATCCGAACAATTACCATGAAAGCATTTATAGAAAAGACAATGTGAGGTAACCTGACGGCGTTGGGAAAGTGAGTGAAGCTGAGCCGAGAATAGTGGCTCCGCTTTGTTATAGCGGCCGAACAATGGAGTATATCATGGAGAGATCATATGAAGTATTATAAATATCGGGGTTCATGTTTGCTAGATTATGGGGACGAATTATCGATCACTACAACAGAGAATTTCGAGTTACCAAGATGGCAGTGTTTTGAAGCAAGACAAGACCAAGAAGAGGAGGTAAGAAATTAATAGAGAAATATATTGCTCTGTTTTGCTTGGGAAGCGAGTAAGGAAGTCCAGGATTTAATTAAGTGATTCATCACTGGAAAAATGCAATGTCTGAATACCAACAACGTTAATAATTTACAATATTTAAGCCGCGTGTCGTGATGAGCATTAAGGTCACCGCAAACAACGATGTTCCCAAATGTATATAGAGAATGTGTTTTTCTATACTGTCAAATATTATGTATAATACTGGCGTCCTGTGAAGAGGGAGAGTGATAAATGAAAAATACCATTCTAACAAAGTGTTTTAACGAAAGATGGAAGCAAATGAAAGATTTGTTTGGGGCCTTAAAACAAAATACCCTAGCCATCGGAAGATTATCCTGGATGTAAACACCAAGGCCATGCATGTGAATGCCGGGATCTTTTCTGCAAAGAGTAAAGATAGACCAGCTCTCTTGTGGTCATGTCACGTCATCGAAATTTGAGCTTGATCGCGCCAGTTTTATTGTTGCTGTTACAATGCAAACATGAGCGCTCCACTTGCAGTTTGCAGCAACGAGGAACAAAGAGCACTGATCCGTGTCTGCATATAACATGTTAACTCCTCGAAAATATCACCTTCCTAAACTTGTCGTCAGTGGTGTAGTTTTACGGCCGTCCTGCTCCTTGTTCATGCGTCAAGACTGTCGGGTCATTTTGAAGATTCTCGATCTACTCATACACACTTCTACGCTCTAGTGTACAGTTGCAGTATTGAGTTAAAATCTTCCAAGGTATTTCAAACCCTAGACAAACATTCCAGCCAAAGAAAATTTTACTCACAAGTTTTTGGTCAACCCGTGGTATGATTTTCAATTGTTAGAACATTCGCATTCTTACCAGGAGACCTGGGTTCGAATCTCACCTCGGTTTGTTTGTCAGGAAGGAGACTTCCTAACATTATCGGTCTGGAGGGAGTGATCACAGCGTGCAGCACCTTTAGAAAGCGCCTGAATATATATATATATATATATATATATATATATATATATATATATGTGTGTGTGTGTGTGTGTGTGTGTGTGTGTGTGTGTGTGTGTGTGTTATTTTAACGGTTCAAAACCTTATTATGGCATTAAAGGCATGACAGTTTTTTACAATAGGCCATGGTAAATTTTAAAACTAAAACATGAACACAAGTCGATTGGTTTCGTCCCCTCTTGTCAGAACGGGGAAACAAATTATGAAAAGAAAGTTTGTCGCGGATCTATCTATCTATCTCTCTCTCTCTCTCTCTATATATATATATATATATATATATATATATATATATACTATTTCTCCGATAACATCACAAAGAGCTATAATCAACGAAGTAAGAAGATAGATATAATATTTCGATTATACGTATGTACGAGAATGAGGCAGTTGACGAGACAGTTGGGACACCTAATCAGGATAATGGGATTGGTGAAATGACACTCATAGAATATATTGCAGGCTACAATGTGGACGAAAATCCTCGAGTAAACTACATAACTAAATAATGTCAGCTCATTGATTGGGAAGCAGAGCGAAAAACCATACTATGCTAATAGCTTGAAAGGTAAAGGTGCTGTGAATAACATTATCTTCTATCCCCTGAAGTAAGATGATGATGATGAAGAAGAAATAAAAGCAACCTATAGTTGGATAAATGGATAAATAATAAAGATTTCTCCTTTTCTTCCTCACGGAACTTATATTCACGAGACCAAGTACTAAAATACTATCCCATAATGTTCAACTTGGCGGACAATCCCAAAGCACAGAGGAATATTATTGTTTCATTGATGCACATAGCATTTACAATGAAATTTCTCAGCAGCTGCACACAGGTCATAAATCGCCTCGTAAGTAGTGTTTGGGAATGTTAACTTGTTTCCAGAAAAATGTGTAGGGAGTGACAGTTTTAATTCATTTATTTTATCGTGACCATATTATGAGCTTTTTATAGCGTCTTTTCTCGTGCTATGTACTTGAATGATGTTTCATCTGCGCACATAACATTACTATAGTTGTTTGCCGAATTAGACAAACACAGCTAGCTGATTTCAGCAAATCATAAACTTACTCGTAATGTTGTAAGGAAAAATAAAAATAATACGAGAAATTATTGAATTTTAGATAAAAAGAATATTGCTACCATTGATCAATATCCCTGTGAAAATGTTGAACATTCATTGAAATTCTAATGAAAATGATAGCACGGTTGATTAGCGTATACATTTTGATTTTGTAGTAGATTTTAATTTTCTATATTTACTGTATAGGTTGATGATGATAAAGACTATATATATATATATATATATATATATATATACATACATACACACACACACACACACACACACACACACACATATATATATATATATATATATATATATATATATATATATATATATATAGATGGAAAGAGAGAGAGAGACGAATGACATAAACTCTTAAAAATATATATTTCATATTGAGCACTGTTGATAGATAAGCTGATTCCTTAAACAACAGCCACCTCCACTATTGCAAAGCTCTTCAGTAAAATGAATTGGATACCTCTGACTGATTGGAGTTTCTTTATATTCGTTAAAACAATACGCTAGAATTAGCTGTTTCACTCTACCGAGTGATGACGGATTAGTCGTAGAAACTCTGATTGAGACCAAATCGATCGAGTTTTTCTTCTGGCTTGAGGCATTCTCATGTCTAGTCGGACTGAGATACAGTGAAACAGTACTGTCTTCGAATGACATCAGACACACACACACACACACACACACACACACACACACACACACACATATATATATATATATATATATATATATATATATATATATATTATTATTATTATTATTATCATTATTATTACTATTATTATTATTAATAATTTGTAAGAATGTTAAGTGCCGAAATTGCTGGTTCTTTTCCATAGTTTAGGCAGACAGGTTTTTATCTTAAATTACTCCATACCAAAATGTATGAATAGAGCCTTAATAGAATGAATGTGGAGAAACTTGTCACTTGACGGAGTTGTGTTATTTCTTTCCTGCCGACTTCGAAGTTTCGTAAGCGTATTTTTTATTTCTTCTTGGTAATTGTAGGCATCCAACAACTATAAGAACAAAAATGGGTACCACATATCTCTCGAAGACTAAATAATAACAAACCATTTTGGCTTGCAAGCCTAAATTAAACAGATTGTAAGAAAGGAAATCTCACTGAATACTAGAAATAGCGATAATTTGATTTAAGAAATCTATTTTCCTAAAATGAAAAAAATTAAAAAAACACCAAAGATAAATAATGATTTAATAAATATCGTTTTCATAAATTTCAACTGAGAGTAATGATAATCGGTCAGACCATGAATACTGCATATTTCACAGTTAATCTCTCCATTATCATTATCGACATTTACACTTGGGCATGTTAGTCATATTGGACGAAAATATTTATGTTTTCTTCGGCGACACACAAAAAGCACCGTTATTGAAAACCTTATCTGTTCGATCTTGATATGTCCTCGCAATGATTCCAAAACCTCGTAGGTTTCATGACACGTTTTCTCGCCGATATCTATCGGGCGAAGTGAGGAATTATATGTGATTAGGTAACTGTTTGTAATTTAATTAGATTTCTTGAAATTTGAACTTATTGCGTTACTCTAATCCAATAATAGATTTAATAAACCTTTCTTAAGCGGTACTGAATAGTTCGTTGGACGTAAGAACTGTTGATAACGTGGATATGTAGTTTGAATAAACGTTAGCTCTATACTTGAATAGATTATCATTGTATAATACGCGATGAGCAAACTCGCAATACAGCAATTCTTTAGATGTACTTGTTTCTTATCAATGCAATAAGTAGCGAATAAGGTTGGTTTGCCTCTTTGTACTTGACATGAGTGTAATGTTTTAAAATAGAGAAACGGGGGGATATAGCTCGTCACATTATTTTCCATTGAAATAGAGATGGAGTAGCAAGAGCATTGTGACGTTGCAGCAAAAATGTTTGCAGTGTGTAGAACAGCTACCTCCGCTATTGCAAAGCTCTTCAGTAAAATGAAGTGGGTACCTCTGACTGATTGGTGTTTCTTTACATTCGTTAAAACAATACGCTAGAATTAGCTGTTTCACTCTGCCGAGTGATGATGGCTTAGTCTTAGAAACTCTGAATGACACCAAATTGATCGGGTTTTAGTACTGGCTTGAAGCACTCTCATGTCTAGTCGGACTGAGATACAGTGAAACGGTACTGTCTGCGAATGTCATCAGATATCATCAACACGAATAAAGAAACCATGAAGTGATTCTTTGAGTTAATAAATGAAAAAATCTTCATTAGTAAAGAAATAAATCTAGTTTTCTTTCAATGATAGCGTAGAAGGGAGTAGAGGGTTAAATCAGTTATGAATTCTTAAAGATTCTCCAGCAAAATTTTCAACACTAAAATATTAAACAGGCTTAGTGAATGTTGCGTTGTTGAGATTACGTTATTTACTTCAATTTCGAATGAAGTCCGACCTATGAGTCTCTTCAACTATCATAGTCGTTAGAGCATCACATGTATTACCACCTTAACACCGGTGGGTGTCTCTAGACCAAAATAACCAGGACATCCTCCTTCACGATACTTCGAATTCAAATTTTTCTTTCCCCTAGAACAGTGATTTTTCATCTGTTTTACCCAATGCGCTCTTTTCACACTAACCAGAATGTCATTCCTCCACTTTCCAAGATTGTTCAATTAAAATTTAAATATCAAATAATATGCATATATTATTGGAAATATTTATTCTTTTCCACTTTAATACATATATATTTAAATGGATTATATTTACAGAGGAGTTTTACAAATTAGCAACAGATGTTGATGGATTAATTTGAAGAATTCTTCAATAAATAAGATCAACAGAATGCCAGAAAAAGAAAAAAAAACAAGAAAAGGTAACAGATTTCCTCTCTCTGTTAAACCATGACATACATCTTGGTGGGAATTAGTCCCTGTTTATGAACACCTATTATAGATTCTTTCCTACACAAGGGAGTATAACCGTTAGTTACGATGGAGAAAAGATGCAGTCATGCTTTAAGCCAGGTATATTTTTTAGAAAGACAAGACAACGGCGTAGCTCGGAATTTGTACATGAATTACGGATTTTATTATTCGCGTCAATATCTTGTAAGAAACTTACAAGTATTATATTGAATGGTTGCTTCTTCGTGGAAAATGACGTCCACGGAGAAGATTAAATAAGCATTTGTTTTACAAAAGACATTTCAGAGAAGATATATTTTGACCGATAAACAAATTCGATACGCACTATGCCATCATGAAATTTCATCAACATTTATAACAGCAGAGCATTTTATAGACAGCGATGCGATAGATGTTTCTCAGGAACATTTAAAAAAAACACGAGGATACAGCGACGTCTTCATTTTTAACAGGTTAGAAAGGTTCCTGTTACTTCTATTCTTTTATAAACACACCAACATTTTCTGGTTGGCGGGAAGGTATTTCCGTCATTGATTATCAGAATATATGAATAAATCAAACATTTTTTTGTGCGTTGAAAAAAATCATTCATATGCTATTTAAAGATGTAAAGCAAAAATACAAATTTCGTCGCCCATCCATTGTAAATGCGATGTGCTCAAGGGGTTTTGATTCTCTCAAAATAGGTTATTTTAATATGGCTACGATACATAAGTTGAATTATACGACCTAATCTCAACAACGTTATTGTATACCGATTTGTCTTCTCGAAATACTCTGTTGCTATTTATACGAAATCGTTGCAATCATGCGCAAATACATATTTATATAATGTAGCATACATGTAATGTGTACTGATTTTACCTTTTTTGTAAATATTTATGGGTATATATCAAGGAACAAGTATTTATATTCTTTTTTATTTAATCAGACTACAGACATTCAATAGATACAATATATTTATTTGTTGTGTGTATTGAGATCAAGTAAATGCTTATAGGTACCTCCATGAGATCGCTGAAAAAAGAGCATAGCATGATGAATAAGACACCAAATTTTACGAAAACAAAATTTCATCGTCTAAATGTTCATATTATTATTAATGGGAAAGATCAAATTTTATTTTAATTATTTTTTTAAATTTTTTCCTTCTTTTTAGAACATTCTAAATTTTGATTAAAATAATCTTGTTTCTTTTTGTAACACCGGAACTAGTAAAATAACATACAATTTTCAGCACTTTGTGTGTGTGTGTGTGTCTGTGTGTGTGTGTGTCTGTGTGTGTGTGTGTGTGTGTGTGTGTGACAGACATTAATTTGGAAAATCTTGCAAAAATAAAAAAATAATTGTCGAAAACTTTCAGAAACTATTCAGAGATGATCGAAATTATTATAAATATGCTTTTTTTTTTATTAAAGTCATGGCAGAAATATTTTTATTTATATTTATTACCACCGTATAACTAATTTTATGAAAACGCTAGAAATTCGATCGCGTTAGCGTTAGTGATTTAAAAGAGTTAAAAGCACAAGGCTTTGGGGAATACATATAATGTATTTTTTTTTTGTTTTTAACTGGAACCCACCTACCTGAAAATCAGCTCTGAATCGTAACGTACAAAACTCAATAAAACAAAGATATTATTTAATTTCAAATGCTTTTATTTGCTTTTAGTTGTTTTTATGAATAAGGGTAATATTTTCTGAAATCAAAAAATTTTTCTCGATGAAAAATAAATTTTTAATACTGTTATTTGTTATTTATTAATTATAATAGATTTTTACATTTAAGTTGTTAAAAGCCGTTAAATTAGTTAAAAGCCGTTAAAATTAGTTAAAAGCCGTTAAAGTGTCCTCATGAGATAGATCTTTTTTTACCGCGTTGTAAATTGTATCATTTTGACTAATCGGAAATCGCAGTAATTAAGAAATGTACTTTTTGTTTTTATAATAGGGCTGCAATTTTAAAGTAGGGAAGACCAACCAGAATACAATTACGTTGCTTTATTAGAGTTAAGCATTGTTTTCCGCAGTTAAGCCCTTTACTTTTGCAAAACAGTGTGGAGAAGTTAATTTGATTTTTCAATTTCAACTGAGAAGGGTACCTACAAGTATCAGTATCATCTTATTAAATTTATATGATCTTCTTTTTATACTAATCTCAGTTATGACATTTTTCCATAAATGCAATATCAAAATTAATGATAAAATGAATGGAAATACAATTAACACAGTAAAATGTAATAAATATTCACTTTGGAAAATGTAGTCTCATCAAGAGAAGGTAACTCATTCGTAGTTATATCGATACTACTTTTTATACAGTACTTAATTTACATATCACTATACATCCCTGAACCTGAGATTCCACCTTGTATATTCCCCTCGTTCTGGAGAGGTCTTTCCTCATGGGATTGATTCAATAATAATAATAATGTTGCTTTATTCTCTTTCGGTTGTTTTTGCCCGGACGCGTGTCGAATTTTTTTTTTGTTTCGGAATTAAAAGAGAGACATAAATAAAGCGACTTTTAAACTTATCTATTTTTTAAAAACTTCGACTTGTCTATTTTTAACTAGTCCATGGGGTTGCTCTATCAACCTTACTTGGGATCAAGTTCTCCGAGACAGGAAACAACCACGTCTAATATGTATGACTTGTAAATTTTTATTTTCTGAAAAAATATCTATCTCTAACGTTCCCACATTCGGCTCAACCAATCAAAATCAACATCCCTATTTCGCTTACAAGCTGATACCGATGTAAGCCTCAGCCTACGAACAACCCTGGAAGTTATGTCATAATTCATCTCCCTGAGTAAGTCTTTTTATTGTGTTTTTTTTAATTTTTTTATAGAACATCGTAGTATTAACTGATCCACCCCCCACCCCCATTTAAATCCGCTCAATCATAGTCCCAGATTGTTCGTCCCTACTACTGGATACACTCATTCTCTCCTCCCTCTCCTTTTCTTTATTTTCATATCTCTGGTTCTCCTCCTGATCACACTCAATATTGAATTCATTTATCCTTTCTTGCGTCGTCTGTTCTTCTGCTTCCTCTTCCTACTCATTTCCATAACATTATGCTCTCTTGTAGGTCTAACTTTTCTTCGTGAGACAGTATGTCCATTCTTTGTTAACACGTCTGTGTTAAAATTCTTTCGCAAAACACAATTCCGTTTTTTAAGACTTGTATCGTTGTCCTTTCTGTACCATACACGTTCATTCATGGAAAATGACATGGTAATCGGGGCGCTTTTTTGTCTTCCCATCAATATGGATGGGCTTTGTCTTCTGCCTGCATGCGGAATAGCTCTATAACTTAAAAGTAGTTCGGGTAAATAACTCTCTAATTCACAATTCACTGGAAAGAATGATTTTAACACTATTTTTACGTTTGTATCATTGCCTCCGTAATTCCATTTGACAGTAGGTGTTATGGTGGTGTTTTTATGGAATGCAGCCTATACGTTTTAACCATGCCCATAAATTTTCTTCACAAAACTCAGGTGCATTGTCAGGGACGAAGGTTTTTAGAACTACATATCTCGAAACCACTGTCCTCAGCACCCGCAACAAAGAAATGGCTTATCTATCCGCGACATTAATAACTTTCGGCCAACCTGAATAATAGTCGACTAATATCAGAAATAGTTCTATACCTTTAATGTAGGCATGATTCATATGTACTAGTGTCCATAGTTCCATTTTTTTTTTTTTTTACCAAGAGTGAATTTCAGTTTGCCTAAATTTCTTAATTTCTGCATACATTGGGCATTATTAACATACTTTTCCACGTCTCCCGAATACCCCGGCCGCCATACCTGCAACGTTAACCTCATTTGCGTTTTCACTATAACCCTAGGTATATATGCGTTCACGGCTCTAATTATTTCTTTTCTCAGAGACTGTAGAGTAACTATGCTATCTCCATTACATATAATTACCTTTTCTATTGTGAATTTGTATCTTGTCCCTTAAAAAGCCTCTCAGCCATGTATTTCTCTTTTTTCTCTCCATAACCATGTTCAACACTGGATCCTGTCTAGTTCTCAACGTAATCCGATTTAAGAGTAATACGTCCGTTTTTATCCTGTGCAAAAACCTATCCTCACAATTATTTCTTGCTTCCATATTTTTCTTCTCAAGGTTTAACTGAGATAATGCATCCACATACGTAATAATATTTCCTTTAATATATACGATGTCAAAGACGATCTCCATGAGCTTAATCACACATCTAAATATCCTGACAGATGTGACCTTTGGCAAATCTCTTCTGAGGTTGAATACGAATTCCAAAGGCTTATGATCAGATTTTAATACAAATTTCCTTCTCAGCAAAAAGAAATCTAACTCTTTCCGTGCTCTTCACAAACGATAGTGCTTCCTTCACAGTATTCGAATAATTCGGCTCTGCCGATGTTAGTTTTCTAGATAAATACATTAGAATGTGATCTTGCATTGACAGTATTGCGACTATAGCACTGTCATCGGCATACGTAATTAACGGCAATTCTTTCACTGGGTGAAACATTTTAACAATTGGTTTCTTTATGAGAGTCTTTTTTTTATTTTCTCGAAAACAATGTCCTTTCTTTTTGTCCATTGAAATTCGGTATTAATCCTTATTTCGTTAATCGCTGTAGATATATTTTATAGGAATTGGTTAATCCTAAAAAGGACTCTAACTCTTTTATTTTATTTCTGGTTACAGCTATCTCTGATAACTTATTAATGCGCTTGTCGTCCAGCTATATAGTATATTTGGATATTTAATATCGTAGGTACGTATTTTTCACAATTGAACTTAAATTGATCACTATTTAATTTTCTCAAATCTTGATCCTTTTTAGCTTTGAGATATTCTTTCTTGTGCACATTTATGACAATGTCGGCTTTATATAAAATTATATAGTTAATGCCCTCTAAAAGTTTTTTTTCGATTGCCTTTTGGAAAATGTGACATGATTATTTAATGCAAACGGCATACGAGTCCATCTTAGCAATCTAAGAGGAGTGTTCATTTTGATGATTTCTTGAAATTTGCTATCCATTTTATCTGATTATATGCTGAGGTCAGGTCAATTTTAGCAAAGATTTTCATACCAGCAAACACATGGCCCGAAGATTCAATATTTGGCTACGGGAATAAATCCGAATAGATCAGGTGATTCACGCCCACGTTATAATCGCCACAAATACTTAAATCTCCATTGGGCTTAGGAATCGTCACAATTGCTACCACTCAGGCTGATTTTTTTCTAATATTCCTTGTTCCACCATTTTGTTCAGCCAAGCAACTATGAAGGGTAGCATGTGAACAGGAACGTTCTTGCATAGAGATACATGGGTTATCTGCTTTCTTTAAGCCGAATACTGGCTTCGCATCCTCTCAATAATCCTATATCCGTTTCTACAGACTTCACGAAGTTTACCAGTTTCGTTGTATTCGCACTTAACACATAAGTTCCTAAAAGACTGTGACTTTTAATGATTTCCAATGTTTGGATATTATCTCGAATCTCTTTTTGCCTCAAACGTAGCTTCAAATAATCCTAAAATTTTGATGATTACCCATCCAACTCTCTCAGCTTTACTTTATCTTTGGTATATCCATTATTACGAAAATATACCTCAGTATCAACGTACATAACCTTCAGTATACATCAGCATGTGTAAAGTTACTCCGTTCAACTTAATCTTTTCCTTATATTTATCCTGTGCTTTTATGTCAAATCCTTCCGTACTTTCAACCGGAGGATCTATATTTTCCTCTTTTCAATTGAATTTCATATGTGCATAACGTCTGGGAATGATTCCTCTTTTTATATAGGATCGTCCATCGTGTCTAATAATCGATTGGTGACGCCATATTGTTATGATAGGTATTCACTCTGACAGATATACTCTCGTTTAGACAAGATAACTCTCCAGTAGGTAAAACGGTGCTGCCGTTTATGCCCTGCCTAATTTACACATCACTACAAAATACACAATAATAAATAGAAACTAAAAAAAAAGTAAAAAAGAATAAAATAAATCTGCATTCGGATCAGCAATTGTGCCCACAGAACAGCCCCTAGAATAATTCAGGAAACCATCCACCTAAATATTTGTTAGACTAATAGAACAGACCATGTAAAATGCAACAGTATAGACGACGCACAATGCATGGCTGACACTGACATGTATATATAAAGATTAAAGCAAAAACACAACGCATAAAAGATTTAACACAATCACACACACACACACACACACACACACACACACACACACACACACACACACACACACACACACACACACACACACACTGTTGCCCCCTGGCATTCGTGGGTTTGCTTTGCCAGAAGACACGCGAAGAATGAAAAAACTCGAATATTGGACGTCGTTCACAAAAATGCCTATACACTGCGTGCCAAATTATTATCGAGATAAATTTTTCTAATATTTCAAAAACCGTCCAATCAATTCACACCAAATTTTCACACAATGTTGGCAACCCTGATCTGCGTAATCACTGTAATGTTCGTACTGATCTGCCCAATGTAAACAAACTGGCGCCATATTTGTTATCAGCACGGCGATTTGACCGTGCCAAATTATTAGAAAGGTTTAGTAAAATTCCCAGAATTGAGCAAACAAAACGTTTATTAATGTTGAACGTGAATGTTTATGATCAAAAGAAGCTAATAAATAAGATAATCAAACAATAACAGATACAAACAAAGGCACAGTTTTAAACAAATTAATAGGGAATGCGCTTTCCCTGTATTGAAATTATTTGCAGAAGTCGACGATCCATAGAATTTGTAAATTGTAGTAATGCCCCGAGATATGTCAAGAATTGTTTCCCATAACTCAGCGTTGCTTCTGAATTGTCGTCCGTTGGCGTACCGTCTTCGCTTCATGATGCTCCAATGGTTTTCGATTGGGTTCAAATCCGGAGAATTTGCTGGCCACTTCATTTTTCGAGGTCCATCGAAGCCTAACTGTATCAAATATTCAGTAGTCTTGTGAGCAGCGTGTGATTGAGCATTATCTTGCATAAAACACAATGGCCCTTCTGAAGACAACTGTTTGCCTTTTCATCCACGGTTCAAGATGCTCCTTCATAAATGCAATGTATGCATCAGCAGTTATTTTGACGCTATCTGGTACTATCCATGGGCCCACTAATGTGTTTCCAATAATACCACCCCAGACCATTATGCCTCCACCGCCTTGTTGGCGTCTCCAACACTGCTGGCGATTCTGTCCGTTCATTACCCAGCCTTTGCTCCATCTCTCTGGCCCATCAAGTGTTGCTCGAGTTTCGTCTGTGAACAAAACTTTAGAGAAGTCAATCTTCATATTGTTCTCGGCCCATTTCAATCGATTTTGAATGTGATTTCTCGTCAACGAAGGCTTCGATACAGGTTTGACTGTTGTTGCTATTTCCCTCAGATACCGACCCCAAGTATTTTTAGACACAGTAGGATCCCCGATGCGACTGAAAAGCTCTTGACTGGTAAGTCCAGGTTTCTTCGTGGCCTCTCGTTTAAGTCGTGACATGAGACGACGTGAAATAACCCTTGGCTTGCCTTTATCTGCTCTTTTGCGTAATTGTGTGGGGTCGGGGGTGAACTTTCTCACTGTCTGATAACACTTCCATAGTATTTTAAAAAGTTCTAGGGTAGATTTCCTTTTTGAGGTTTCTGAGGTCATAGTTTTCTTTTCAGCATCACTTAAACTGCTCTTACGGCCAAACTTTTCACTAAATTCTTATACATTTTTTTAATAATTTGGAACGATCAAATCACCGTGCTGATAACAAATATGGCGCCAGTTTGTTTGCATTGCGCAGATCAGTACGAAAATATCAGAGATTGCGCAGGTCAGTGTTGCCAACATTGTGTGAAAATTTTGTGTGAATTGATTGGAGGGATTAGAAATATTAGAAAAAATGTTGTCTCGATAATAATTTGGCACACAGTGTACATGTTAAAATATAACGTAGAAAAATACTAAAATATAAGTAAATATATACAATTAATTTCATCCTAGTGAGTCATAACCATTTTTCCGGAGATGGGTTCGTTGCCTGAAGCCTTATACGGTGCAAGAGGTTTAGT